TCCTAAAGGTTTGCTTTTTATGTTTTGATGTTGAATTCACTTTTTTTGATGACAATTTTGGGTGTACTGTTTTTTTTTATGTTGGGGGTGCGGCTTTTATGTTAATGTTCGCGGGTTGTTTTTTTTTAAAAATGGCGGGTGCGGCTTATAGTCCAAAAAATACGGTACTCTCTGTGGCTTTCTCAAGGACCTGGATGTGTGACTCAAAAAGCTGAATGTTGAAAGCGAAATTGAATTACAGAACTGAAAGTGAAATTAATCAAACTGAATTTTTGTTTTACGACAAAACTTTAAATTCAGTTTTAATTTAGTGAAATCCATTTTCAAACCAATGCATTCAGTGTCAAATTATGCAAACACAGATTCAGTCTGAGCGCTTGAAATTCAGTTTCTGCTGATGGGTTTTTTCCCATAATAAAAACTGACATTGGGAACTCTCATGCTCATCTCTTGATCTTAACCCAAATGTCTTCAGTGTACACCATAAACAAGGAAATTTGACTTGCTGTTCCCAATGTGTTTGAAGGGGACTGCATGTATACAGTATATGCATCAGTCTATAATGTTTTTTACCAATAAAATATGGTTTAATGATTAAATACACTTTGCTTAAAGTGAGACTGAGAGGCTTGATAAATGACTTTTAGTCTCAGCTTTTAGCTAAGAACGTTTTTACACCTAAGWCCATTCTTAACAGCATTTTTAAGAGTAATTCTCAGAAGTTTGATAAAAACAGGCCTAGATCTCAGTCCCAAAGKAAATCTGAGAGAGTGGGATAAAGGAGACCTACAAACCTAACTCAGTTACACCAGTTTTATCAGGAGGAATAAGACAGAATTCAAGCAAATTATCGTGAGATGTTTGTAAAAGGAAACCAAAAACATTTAACCAAGTCATACAGTTTAAAGGTAATTCTACTAAAAGCGAATATCTAATACTTGGGACTTAAAGAAGAAAGTATTTTGTCTGAATATTCTCTCTTTTGTTATTCTGGGATTTAAAGTAGAAGTACTTTTGGGACTCTCAACTGACCTAAAACAGGTAAGATTTATTCTGATTTAATGTCAGACTGAATTAAACTGCTCTCTGTCAAATTCAGAATAGAATTTAAAATATTCCTCCTAACATACAAAGCTCTTAACAACCAAGCTCCATCATATATAGTGGTTTGCAAAAGTATTCATACCCCTTGAACTTTTCCATATTTTGTCACATTACAACCACAAACATAAATATATTTCACTGGAATTTAATG